TTTTTTTTTCTTCCCAGTAGTAAATCTGAGGTCTGGGTGTCAAATCACAGGAATTGCCTCACGGGTCAGTTCTACTGTCTCATTTCTTGGGTCTGTAGATGCAGAATTAATCCTCACTTGCATGTCTGAATAGAGCAAAAATGAAGAAAACGTAATCACAGTAAACAATTGTACGGGCAGGAAAACGCTATTATGGACAAAGGCATCCAGCGATCGTGGTAGCTGAGCTGAATAAAAAGCAGAAGACAATTTACATTTTCCTACTACGTAGTTGCCTAGTCACTGTTGTTTATTTCATGTGGTTTATGTGGCCGCTGAGCCAGGCAATGTCCAAACGACTATCCACCTATCCACTACTCTCCTGCTGATTTGATAATGGTGACGTCTGTCAGATGCGTGCGTGTGTGTTTGGTGTGGCTAATGTTCTAATGTTCTTATCGTTATGTTCTTAACACTGCTTATGATGACATACAGGCGTATGCTCTTATTAAACAGTGGTGTTTTCAAGCAGGTGTAGTTGTGTTGGCCTATTTTCATAACAAATGCATTTTAGTTAGTTTAGTTTTAGTTTATGCTAGTGGTGTGGATGTTGTCATATGAGCACTTCAACTGCACATTGGTTTCTCTCTGAGCACAAATATTCTTACAGGTCATTAGAGAGCCTGATTTAATAAAAAAGTGTAAAAGTTTATAGTTTTCAGCACTGGACATTAACACTGCTACTGACACTCTTTGTTTCACTCTAATATCTTGCTTAGACACTCTAACATCTTGCTTAGACAACTTTTGCCCCCTTTCATCCAGACCATCACACACCACCCCGTCAGCCTCTGCCCCCTGGCTGTCCGATGTCCTCGGTGAACATCGCTCTAGGCTTAGGGCTGCAGAAAGGAAGTAGCGCAAATCAGTCACTCCTCTCTTCCTTCTCTGCAAATGTCTCCACTGCTAAAACAGCATACTATCACAACAAAATTAACAATTGTTCGCACTCTCACACACTTTTCAAAACCTTCTCCTCTCTTCTTTGTCCAAAAACACATGTAACACGCAACTTTCATCTCTATCTCTCTCTTGCTAATTCATTCAAATAAATTATATACAGTGGGGCAAAAAAGTATTTACTCAGCCACCAATTGTGCAAGTTCTCAACACATGTAACACGCAACTTTCATCTCTATCTCTCTCTCTCTCTCTTGCTAATTCATTCAAATAAATTATATAATTAATTAATTCAAATAAATGTGATCTTACCGCACTACTTCATCTGTGTCTGATTTAAAGCAGGCAGAATGCTAACGAGCCATAACTGACGAAAATTACCGAGTGTTTGGACCATTTCTCTTCTCTGTCTACATGTCATCATATGGATCTGTCATTCAGAAGCATGGCTTTTCCTATCACTGCTATGCTGATGACGCTCAACTCGTTCTACTCATTCCAACCAGATGATCCGATGGTAGCTGTTCGCATTGCAGCCTGTCTGACAGATATTTCTGGCTGGGCTGGATGAAGGACCATCACCTTCAACTCAGCCTTGGTAAGACGGAACTGCTCGTGGTCTCAGAAAACCCAGCACTTCATCACAGCTTCTCTATACAGCTAGGTTCGTCAACCGTAACTCCTTCAAGGACAGCCAGGAACCTTGGAGTTGTGATTGATTATCAGTTAAGCTTCACAGACCATATTGCTACAATGGCCCAGTCCTGCAGATTTGCCTTATACATCATTAGGAAGATTAGACACTTCCTATCAGAGCAGGCCACACAACTCCTTGTCCAAGCTCTTGTTCTCTTGTTCTCTCCAGTCTGGACTATTGTAATGCTGTCTTGGTGGGCCTTCCGGCATGTACTTTTCTGGATTTTTTTTCTCATTTTGTCTCTCATAGTTGAGGTATACCTATGATGAAAATTACAGGCCTCTCTCATCTTTTTAAGTGGGAGAACTTGCACAATTGGTGGCTGACTAAATACTTTTTTTCCCCACTGTAATTAATTAATTCAAATAAATGTGATCTTACCGCACTACTTCATCTGTGTCTGATTTAAAGCAGGCAGAATGCTAACGAGCCATAACTGACGAAAATTACCGAGTGTTTGGACCATTTCTCTTCTCTGTCTACATGTCATCATAGCCTCTCTCTGATATTAATATTTTATAATTGTTTTTCTCAAATGTTAATAAGTAGTGAAGCAGTTTTGATAATAGTATATATTTTTAAAGATATAGTAAAGAATAGAGCAATGTGACTTTTTAAATTTCTTTTTCTTCATTATAATATCAGAATGGTTCTTTTTTTTTTTTTTTAAATGCTCATGACAAAAAAGCTTCACTCATGTCATTGTAGTGTAAATCATAATAATACTTTTTGGTATTTTTGTGTTCAAGTGCATGATGGAAGTTTGACACAATATGACAAAACGGAAGAAAAAAAACTGTTCATCTGATTGCTGATTGTACACAATATGATGGTGACCAGTTAACATTTACCAGACCTAATCTTAAAGTTCACACCTTCTACTATTACTTTTGAAAAAACATAGGAAAACCCACAAAGCAATTACCAATGCCAATTAAAAACCATACTTTCCTTTTTAATAAGCTTATTATTTTCACGGCCAGATAAAACACCATTCTAATATCTACTTAATGCATTATTGCGAAACTCGATCCCCTGCTCTCTTGTTCTCTCCAGTCTGGACTATTGTAATGCTGTCTTGGTGGGCCTTCCGGCATGTACTATCAAGCCTCGGCTACTGATCCAGAATGCAGCAGCGAGAGTGGTTTTCAACGAGCCGAAAAAAGCTCATATCACACCTCTCTTCATCAGTTTGGACTGGATAACAATAGCCGCTCGTATCAAATTCAAGGTACTGATATTTGCCTACAAGACAACCACTCACGCTGCACCAATATCTAAACTCACTAATTCAGACTTATGCGCCCTCCAGAAGCTTGCGTTCTGCAAGTGAACGATGCCATCCTAAAGAGGCACAAAATCACTCTCACAGATGTTTTCCTGGACTTTTCCCAGCTGGTGGAATGACCTGCCTATCTCAATTCGAGCAATTCGAATGTCGATCTTTTTCGCCAGCACCTGACCAATTAATACTAGCACTTACCTATTCAATTAGCTCTAATTAATAAAAAACACACACAAAAAACACCTTGCTATGTGTACTGTGGTAGACTAATTGAGACTCGTCACAGCACTTGTATACTGTTGCTCTCTTGTTGGTTTGATTGCTTCTATTGTTTTCCTCATTTGTAAGTCTCTCTGCATAAAATCATCTGCTAAATTATTACATTTAAATGTAAATGTAAAGAAGTGCTTTTACAAAAGTGGTGTTTTTGAAGTTTAGTAGGCAAACTTATGATCTTATTTCCTTCCTTTTTCTCTCCAATCTTTTATCCAATTGTTGTTGGCCAATGGTGGTTAACCACCCACTTCACAAGCATCTTTCCAGTTCATTTTTAGACTATGTTTGCCAATCAGTTGAGTCAATGATGAATTATGAAATCCTGTATAAAACATGTTTCAGTTTTACAGAAATACATTTGTTAATTTCATACGGTTTTGAAAATAATTTCACCACTTTCAGCAAAAGTTAATTTAATGACTCTAAAATGTGATGTAACTATAACAATAAAAATATCAATTTCTCTGATATTTGAAGTGATTTATTGACCATCACACACAGTCGCACAGTGTCTGTCAGGGTCCTCTCTCTGATATTAATATTTTATAATTGTTTTTCTCAAATGTTAATAAGTAGTGAAGCAGTTTTGATAATAGTATATATTTTTAAAGATATAGTAAAGAATAGAGCAATGTGACTTTTTAAATTTCTTTTTCTTCATTATAATATCAGAATGGTTCTTTTTTTTTTTTTTTAAATGCTCATGACAAAAAAGCTTCACTCATGTCATTGTAGTGTAAATCATAATAATACTTTTTGGTATTTTTGTGTTCAAGTGCATGATGGAAGTTTGACACAATATGACAAAACGGAAGAAAAAAAACTGTTCATCTGATTGCTGATTGTACACAATATGATGGTGACCAGTTAACATTTACCAGACCTAATCTTAAAGTTCACACCTTCTACTATTACTTTTGAAAAAACATAGGAAAACCCACAAAGCAATTACCAATGCCAATTAAAAACCATACTTTCCTTTTTAATAAGCTTATTATTTTCACGGCCAGATAAAACACCATTCTAATATCTACTTAATGCATTATTGCGAAACTCGATCCCCTGCTTAAAGTCCTGACATATCTGAATAAACTAAATCAAGAAACAGAATTGCTTGGGCCCCAAATATTAGAACAAATCCTTTTTAATAACCAGTTTGTCTGCTTATTAAATTGTTTTATTGATTTTTCTGTGCATCATTATTGTGGTAACAGTTCATCCATTGAAATATAAAATAATGTGTGCACTTATACAGAAATAAAGAAATCATGAAATATTATACACAGAACACAAAAGTTGTACCACTTTATTAAAGGATATTAAAGGATATTTAGAGAAAAGGTTTCTTTTTACATTTTACACTGTTTGATTATGCAGACTGACAGTCATATGTCACTGTCTATGAAATCACAGTATCACTGGTGTTGCTGCTGACAGTTCTGACTGTTGCTAGGTGATGATGTCACAATGGAAGAACACAATGACATCACTCCAGCGGCTCTGATGGACAGACAGCAGATGTAGATGAAGACATCTGGAACATCAGAATCTGAGACATAAAAAAGATCAAATAGATTCAAAACCATTTTTGTAGCCATTGTATTTAATGTTATAGCCAATTCTCAATATAAATTATTTCTAACCTCTTCATTTTTGTTTTCTGTTTGGTTTTGAAATGAGATTCTGATGAAATACCTGTTGAATCATAATTCACATTCTTATAATCTGAATTCATTTCATTATACGTCAAGTAATTAGATATTTTACTCACCACATCCACAGAGCCACTATTATGAGAAACTGAGGTAAAAACACCAGCAGAGTGACTGTATAATGGCTGAACGCTGTGCTGTCCACTGGATCTTCACAACACAAAGAAGTGAATCAAGACTATCAGAGAAACCACCTGAACTCATCAAACATTTCACACTGAAGCACATGTATCATGAGAGATGTGTTACCTCCTACAGCACAGGAATACTGGTGAAGCTCTTCATTGCTGACTGAGTCCAGGTACAGCTTGTTGTCTTTAGTGAATCCATCCGTTACCTGTCGTCCGTTCTTGTACCAGATGTAAGTATGTTTGTCGTTCAGAGAGCATTTAGTTGAACAGATTAATATCACTTCCTGTCCCTCTGATACAACAGATGGGCTGCTTTTCACCTGAGCATCTGAAAAAAAGCCTATTAGAAATTATACAGGAAACATTTTAAATGTAATCAGTTTATCATGATGAGTTACCTGTAACAGTAAGAATGACTCCAGGTGATGCAGAGTATTGGCCGTTTGTCGTGTTAGTGAAGAACCTGAATCGATATTCTCCAGAGTCGCTGATCTTGAGCTCTTTGATTCTCAGTTTGTTCCCCACATACTCCACACGACCAGCAAACTGATACTCCTCACGCAGATCCTTAAAGTCAGCAGGCCGAGCGTAATGCCAGAATGTTTTATATACTGTATAACCAGAGGGATGTGAGTATGTGCAGGAAATGTCTACTGTTGAGCCCACCAAAGCACAGACTCTTCTAGAGGTGTAAGTCACATCCCAGCAGCCACTCTTAGAAATGCCTGAAAGAGACAGATTACTGCTGTGAAACTCACAATTAAGGTCTGTTCACATCAAGATGAATGTTTCTCATAAAAATTCAGTGTGATAATAAGCATTTTATTTTGACTCAATGGCTGTTAATGGGAGATCTCTTTCCCGCCCATCCCACTCTAAAGTAAACTGTCCAAACAGTAAGATTTGTGCTTTTGGTCATGTAAACGGAGCTGCTTTCATGACTGAACAAATCCACTCAGTCAGATTGAGAGGCAAAACGCCCTGCAACTTGGTACTAGTAGGGGAAAGTGTGAAAACGAAAGTAAAACAAACGATTGTCTGTTTAAATTAAAGGCCACTTGACTCAACCGTAATCCTTACAAATTATAAAAAGAACCATGGTCCATGGACATTGACATGTGCAAACCCTCTATTTGAGGTTAAGCGTATCCCAACATTTCACAATGTTCAAGCACTCATGTGCCCCGAAATCATGAGAATAGGAAAACATTCCATTGTGAGTTAAACATTACAAATAAAGTGTTGCATATTATAGTGGTGCAGTGATCGGTTTGTGTATTTTCTAAAATGTTTGCAACTGCTTTTTAAATCACTTATGTAGAAGCAACACAATTACTAAATTTACAATTTATAACACTATGATGTGCATTCCATTTGGTAATCAAGAGTTTTACACTTGAGTTAACAGCCAGTTGAACACTTATGAAATTGCAAACTCATGAAATCTACATCATGTAACCAGTGGTCAAGTTCCAAGACAGTAAGAGTGTGGATTGGAACGGGCCCCCTGTCCTCGTGGTCTTCCTCAGAGTCCATATTTCTGTGACGTAACGGCACTTTGATTTGAACAGAAAAAGTGGAAATCGCACAGAATTTATATGATGAACATTAGCCTTGGTATGAAAATACCTTTAAATGTGTCCACATATATTCATGTACTAACAATGATATTATATTAGTGCTAATTCAATAAAAATATTAAGTGTCACTCACACACAGGAGAGGAGGAGTTCATAAGACCTATAGTAAGAAAACAGGAGTAACTGGCAGCCGTTTCGAGTGAAACTTCAATGCTCCTGGAATGACTAAGATCTTTTTCATATTGTCCATTTTTTTTCCAGTAGTAATTCTTAGGTCTGGACGTCAAATCACAGGAAGTCTCACAGGTCAGTTTTACTGTCTCATTTCTCTGGTCTGTAGATGCAGGATTCATCCTCACCTGCAGGTCTGAATTAATGTAAAAATTAATAAAACTTGACAAATGAAAACAGCTGAAGTGACCAGAATCTAGTTTCACCTGTGACTGTTAGATTGACGGCCGCTGAGCTGACATTCAAAATATATGCAAAGATATAATGATGCAGCATTGCAAGGTTTTTATTCCCATTATCCACTCATAAAACCCCAGTTCACGCTGATGGTCAGGGCTATTTGGTATTGTCTTATTTGTCTCTGCGGTTGTGCTTTAAAATAAAATTAAGACACAATTGCGGGTTTGTCCAATGTCTTACTGAACTACAGTAATTTATCATCATATTATCATCATCAATTTGTGCTTATTCTCCGATTCTAATGTAAATATGAAGAATATACATTTAAATATATATTATGCAAAATATTATAATAGCTAAATCTCAAACAGTGGATCATTTTTATCAGCATATCGCCCAGCTCTTAAATTGCTCAATGTTAAACCATATGTCTGCTTTTATGAAAATCTGCCTTCATTTAATGTGATATAGGTCTAGGACTATATAGTGGTCACTTAATACGTGAGCAGCACATATTACACAGCTCTGTTCTGCCGTAGTAGGCTACTCGGAGAAGCCGTCACCAAGCATTTGTTTGTAACTTAATCTAACTAATTCGTCTTAAGTTAAAAACAAACATTAGCCAATTGATTCTAACTGAAATTGCTGTGGTTAGCACTTAATATTTATGTAGTACATGCAGTCAAACAGCATAGATCGTTCATAAAAACATACATAAAAGAATGTGCATGCTCCTGTATCCAGCTTCTATGCCAATAAGCTCTGCTGTATTATAAACCAATGAAATGTGGGGGTGGGGGAAATGTGTTGCCCCGCCCCATCGTTCAGGCTTATAAACTTTAAATATGGCAGAGGAGAGAAACATAGCTGTAGTAATGCAAAGTTTTAAACTTTCCTATATTTTCTCTCAGAAGATCCTTTTTTTTTTTTTTACTAAAGTGTAAAAGACTCAATATTTGTCAGATTAGGTCTGGTAGCCTAATTGTTAACTGGTTTCCAATGCATGTATCCATCATATTGTGGACAATAAGATCAACTGTTTTTTTCCTATTTTGATATCGTGTCAATCTTCCTTCATGCACCTGAATACAAACACACCAAAAAGTATTGAAGTATTGCCTTCACGGTTAAAAGTGACCAGACACCTGAAATGTAACTTTATTTAGTAATATTTTTTTATTTTTTATTTTGAGAGAATTTTATGGTACTAATTAATAATTATGCAATACTTATGAACAATTTTCCCCATTGAAATTAGTACATAATGTTTTTTTCAAATTTTTCAAAATTGTTTTTCAATTAATGCAGTAATTCAGATTCAAATAGAGACCAGGCCTTTCAAATCCAATTTTGAATGCAGATTATCACCACCTGGTGAGAGCAAAGAAAGAAAAACATGTAATTGCATGGTATAACCACTAAATGCCTGTAATAGCACTCTATAGAGAGGCTTGTGAATTCCCTAGTTGTTTTTAGACATAATTGCTTACTTATATTAAGTTGTGGACTTGAATGTATATTAAGACATTCACAAAGACTATTTTTGTCAAGGTTTATATATATATTTTTTTGTTTGAAATATTGATATGAAATGTCAGTTTTTGCATGATTACTACTACAGTCAAACCTGAACACAGAGAAAGCATTTTGCTACACAAAGCATTACAATTCTAGAAAAATTTAACAAAAATGAACAGGAATGCTTTATCAGAGTTTAATCTTTCTGGGTCTGATCTGATTTCAACCTCTTATTTCAGACTTCTGACTCATTTTGGATATACAGGTGCATCTCAATAAATTAGAATGTCGTGGAAAAGTGGTTAAAAATATTGTTAAATGTGAGCCAAAATCATCATAATTAAAAGAACCAAAGACTTAAACTACTTCAGTCTGTGTGCATTGAATTTATTTAATACACAAGTTTCACAATTTGAGTTGAATTACTGAAATAAATGAACTTTTCCATGACATTCTAATTTATTGAGATGTGTGTGTGTGTGTGTGTGTATATATATATATACATCAAGTGACTGCTTGATAGAGATTTTATTTATTTTCTTATTAGCATTCATTGCTACAATAAGTGATACATTATGATTTAAAACACACACACACACACAGAACGTGTTTTTACATTCCACTGTAGTACTTTTCCATTGTTTTTATGTGTAAACACGGGAGGCGCTAGACAGATTTTTTGCAGCATCATGATTAAGATAGGTTCAACTTTAAAAAATCATGCCTCAAGACCTTGTGCTTTTTCTCCCATTTCACCATCCTGCTTCACGCACTGTGTGAACCACTTATGTTTAAATAATGCGTGACAATAGAAGAGTTTTTTTAAAAAGTTGAACATTTTCACTTGCGTGAGACGCTGCAGGAGACTAGAGTGCAGATGTCAAACACCGCGAAATGCAGTGCAAGTGGAATGCATAAATGCATTTTGTTGAACGGTTTTTACATTGCAAGGGAACAGTGAAGCAGCTCAAATATGTTCATGTAATTCAAGAACTGAATTTTGATTATTTTGTTTAAAATTTTGATCAGAATTGTTTCGACTTAAGACGGGAACGGCATGAGGAGACCGATGTGAATCTGTATTACTTTTCTGATTTTGAGAGGCACAATGCTGAGATCGCAGCCTTCCACCTGGACAGGTAAGAGCGCAGACTGTATATTACATGTACTGCCATATGATAAATTGACTAATCAGTCTGAATTAAAATGAATTTCACTAAAATGAAAACACTTTCTCTCTCACAATAAGGATACTGGGTTTCAGAAGGGTGCCTCCAGTGGTTGAGATCAAAGACATCCCCACCGACCATAAACTGGTCACAACGTTTTTCACTTCTCCAGGTTTGTCCCACTTGGCTCTTTTATTCCTCCATCCCTTCCTCTCAAACAGAGCATCCTTGTCCGTCACCATCTGTCTTTCTCTGTCTGCAGTGGGGAATACACGCTTTTATGGCCAGTGTTCCCATTACTGCTCCACAGAGTATGCTATCTGTGGCCGTCCCCTCAAGATAGAGAGGTCTATGGCTGCTATGTTGCCAGGCCTGAGTTTGGCACCACGTCACTCGTGGAGGAGTCCCTGGAAGCGGTCCTACAGCCGAAGCAAGCTGCCTCAGTGGGTGGAGAATGTGTTATTTAAAGAGATAGTTCACTCAAAATTACTCAACCTCAAGGCGTTCCAACCTTGTATGACCTTCTTTCTTCTGTTGAACACAAAAGTATATGTTTTGGAAAAATCTAAGTGTTTTTTTTTTGTCTGAACGGCCTCAATCTGGACTCCACTGACTTTCAAAGTATCTGCTTTTGGGTTCTTCTTTGTTGTGTTTTTGTACACATTTACTGAGTGTGATTCACAGTGGAGAATCCAGCATAAGTAACCAATGATTATTTCTGTAACAGGTGGGAGACAGACTTCAACTATTGTGATTCTATAAAAAAGACTCATCCTTACGACCGAGGCACTCGATTGGTGGATTTGATCGACCTGAGCATTCTGGGCTTTCTCATGAGTGAGTCATGGAACAGTTTAGATGACTCAAGGTTGAACACTTGCAAAAAAGTACAATGGATTTCTGACATGTACCACAGAATTTTTTTTGGACTCAAACCATGACATTCTTAGATATACCTTGGTGTAGCATGTCATTACCATGGTAAATGACTTGAATATGGTAGTAATTTAATATGGTAGGCCCATATGTCCAAGTGCCACAGTACTTACTCAAAACACACACAAATGTGTCGTTCCAAAGCTGTATAACTTTTTTACTTCCGTGGGATTCAAAAGAAGATTTTTTGAGAGTCACTGGAGCCCAAACATCAACTTTGGACCTCATTAACTTGAATTAAATCCTTAACCTATTCTTTATCTGTCTCTTTTTATTTTTTAAAGGGGTCATATGATGCGATTTGACCAAAATCACAGCTTAATCGGAATGGTATGAAACTTGTTGACTTTTATGACATTTGGAATGTGAACACGGAAAAAAATTCGTCGTAAAAAAAGGTCGTAAAAAAATAGTCACACTCTTGGTCTTTGGTCAAAAATGACCGACCATAGGAAATCAATCGGAAATGGAAAAAAACACAACAATTCAGAGACTTTTTGTGTGCACAATCTACAAATCAGCCACGATGCAGAAAAAAAGTACTCAGCAATGAAAGGGTGAAACTCTAAAACATCAAGAGTGCAAAACAGACACACACACACTTATACACACAAACACCTATAAACTGGTGTGACTGTAACACGGCAAATGTGTAAAATAAAATCAATAATTCAACCACAATGCAGTAAAAAAGTGGACCACAAGGAAGGGGTTACACTCTAAAACATCAAGAGTGCAAAACAGACACATCCACTCATACACACATGCACAATTATACACACTCAAATGGAATAAACATACAGGTGCATCTCAATAAATTAGAATGTTGTGGAAAAG